GCCCACCACTGATACAACCCCTGTGGTAAGTGCATGTTCCTGATACATCATACTGCAGCAAAATTAGGCAAATCCTCACTAAACTTGGGGGTTACAAGGTAGGGATGTCTACGTGGACTATATGATTAACCGATAAGCCTAGGCTTTATCAGAAGCAGCAAGTGTGGGGGAGCAGGAACCAATGCTGGGGGAACTAGTTTAAAAGCTGTTTTCCCCCCAGTACCGGCTCTGCAGTGCTGTCTCCTCGCTGGGGGGCAGGTAGGGGAGGCGGCCGCAAAGCAACCTCTGTCGCAGTGAGCCTGGGCCTATCGTGGCCAGAGGCTGGCTCACAGCAGAAACCCCGGTGTCAAAGTGCTCTGCAGGCAGAGACTGCTCCGCATCCCACCTAGAAGCCTCTGTCTGGAGCTCGGGCCCCCTATCACCCACTAACAGGGTCTACTGCCACCCCGCGCTGCTGCCTCTGTATCAGAGGCAGCAGTGTGGGGTAGCAGGCAGCTGGTCTGCACGGGGAACTTTTTTTAAAAACTGGCTCCCCTTGTGGACCAGCTCCCTTGGCCACCCCATGCTCCTGCTTCTGATACAGAGGCAGCAGTGCAGGATGGCAGGGGGCTCTTTGAGAGTGGGGCTGGGAGCGCACTGGCTGACAGCCCTGCCCCTAGAGACTATTGAATATTTGTGTAACCACAAAGATTTCATGCGGTTACATGACTGTTCAATTACCCAATAGCTAACATCCTGATTACAAGGCATGGCTGCTAGATTTTGCTTATTGAGGTGGAAGGCACTGTTTTCCACATTGTAAGATTGCTCTCGTCCAGTGATAGAATGAATGAGTCTATTAATATTAAGGGATAAAATAGAAAGATGAATACTCCTGTTGAAAGTAATAGTACTTGGATACTAGTGAATTTAAAAGCAGTATAAATGTATTTCTTTGAACTTATTATTCTATTTCTAATGATGTCTTCTGTAAACCCATGGCTCTCTTCCTGTTGGTATTGTAGACTTGTAGAAGAATTTGACTCAAAAAAACTCCGAGTG